GAAGTTTAATAATTTATGTTTACATTTATATCTATGATCCAATTTGAGTTAACTTTTATGTATAATGAGAAATGTAAAGCATTTTTAAAAAATATTAACATAAACAGATAGAACTTTCAACCAGAGAAAGGGATTTTTTAAAATAATTATTTTATTTAACTTTATTCATTTCGATTTGAGCAGAGAGGGACAGAGTGAGAGAGACAGCAGGAGAGAGAGAGGGAATGTGAGAAAGCAAGCCACCACCAGGTCTGGGCCTTGAACCACAGTTGGCCATGCAGGAGTCTAGTGCCCTTAACCACCTTGCCACCTGCCAACTCCAAGAAAGATTTATAAGAAGAATAATATCCCAAATGTTTAGGTAAATTATAATAAAGTTGAAAGCAAGTGAAATAACTTTTGATGCTTAGAATAGTAAAATCACATTTAGTGTTGCTTTCATTTACTAAAGCTACTTAACATGTGTGTTTCTGAAGTGACTTTGGGATTTACAAATGCTTATATAACTTGGTATAATAGGCAAAGTGAGTTGAAGACAAGTGATATCAATAATGAAAATTTACCAACTCAGAACCTACTAGAAGTATTGGCTCTCAGTGAGCCAGAGAGCGCACAAGAAATGGAGGAAAGACTACTCTGGGAGAGTAGGTAATACAAACCCAGATAACGAAGAGTGAAGTAACTCTCCTTTTAGTTTCAGAAAGAAAGATGATGATTCTTCTCTTACGTCTCACATAGGAAAACACGAAAGAGCAAAGGAAAAAGGAAATCTTCCTGGGACCACTGTCACTGGTCTTTACCCTGTCTGTCCCTGAGACAATGGCTGTGGCAGACTTACATACAGACCCCAGGGGAAATGGTGTCATTCCAGAGGTGAGCGTGTATCTATAGTACATGCGTGTGTAGTTTCATGTCTTAATATAGAAAGGCATGAGACCAGCTAATTACATGATAAATTAATAGACCAATGCTAGCAGTCTCGGGACGAATCTTGCCTTTGCATAGATATATTTACATAGCTCATTCCTACCAGTACTCAAAAGTAATTGATATTTATTGAACTCCTTAATACATAGCTTTTTAAAGTCTTTTCACTTATGCCATTGCTATTCTTCATAACTATCCAAGCGATAGGATGATATCAGATCTCTCATTTTACAGAGAAAATCACACAAACTCCAAGACATTGAGTAACTCAATCAAGATCACATTTGTTATAATGACAGCAGAGACATAAACCCAAGTTTGCTTAACTCTAAAGCTTTGTCTTCAAGAGTAAGCACTGCTATCCCTAGTCCAATACAGGCCAACTTCATCGCAGAAATGCAAATTATTTCAGAGTAATGAAGTGAAGTTTCTTTAAAAAATATTTAAACTGCTGTTTCATAAATGCAAATGTATTTATTATACAATAATTATAATAATAATCTATTTCATTTCATTTTGAAAGGATTAAAATTTGTTCATCAGTTCATAAGAAGAAATAAAAAGCCAAGGGCTAAAATAAAATCCATAAATTTATTGATTAAAAAAAGAATAAGGGATCAGACAGTGGGATGGGTTATAGTATGAAAACCTTATTGGAAGTGGTCCCTCTTTTTGATGGAAAAAATAAATAAATGAATAAATAAAGTATACCTGTTTCAAAGGAGTTTTAGGGGCCAGCTGGTGGGGTAGTGGTTAAGGTATTTGGATCTCACATGGCCAGTTCAAGTCCCAAATCCAGTTCAAGGTATGGAAAACACGCTGTGTGCATATGCCTGAGTGCCCTAAATCCTAAGAGGAGCGTGGAAGAGATTGTGGAATGACTATCTCCCATGCTTTCTCACTTTCTCTCTCTCTCTCTGTCTCTCCAGTGAGTACGCACACCATGTAATAAGTTAAAAAAAAAAAGAGTTTTACATCTAAACTTGAGAATTAGATTGATCAATTATGAGTTAATGTTTTGGCATTAAAAATATCCAGAATACTTGACTATGAACCCGAGGACCACGGTTATATCGCTGATGCTGTCTCTAATGCTGCACAGCTTTGGGTAGGTCTCCATAATCTCTGATTCCATCTGCCATCTAGAAAATGAGGATTGAAACTATATATTGCAACTCAGACATTCTACAAGAGATGGGGTCAGGTTAGATTTACCATTCACTGTCTATTGTGTTATAGTTCGGCAGGAGTTAGGAGAGATTCTTCACGTCCTTCTCAAATTTGACACTTCCAACAATCTTTCATCTCATTTAAACCCTCCAAAGAAGGTGAAAAATTACCCAGAGTGCTCATTTCTCCCCATGGACAGAGGTCTGGTTACCCAGGTTAGTCTCAGCTGGTACTTCCAGGATGTTTGTCTTTGGCTCTTTGCAGCAGTGCCCTTCGGGTACCTGGAGAAGTGAAGGGGAGATTGTGTTCGGTGCTGACATTGGCCTGGCTGTCATCTGGAACAGTAGTCCATGCTTGGAGCTTTGGTAGTAAATGTCCATTTAAGAATAGGATAGCTGGTGGCCCGTCTGTTTCATCTTTTTTGTTTGTTTGAAATCTATGTTTGGCAAAGGCGTTTCTTCACGGCATTGTATTAAAAGAGTTTGGTGAGCTGCTTTTCTTTCTTTCCCTCTGCCCATTTCAATGATGGCTTTATTCAAAGGGTAATTATGAACATCACTGGAACAACACTGGCCTGCATAGCAAAACTGGGAAGGCCAGCCTTGACACACAGCACCACAATCACACATAACTGCCTAACTCACCTCCCAGACTGTGGGGGGAGGGAAAAACAGACAGGGACCTTCGTGTTTCTCTTAGCGTTTGTTGTGTGCTTGATTTGCAAGATCTGGACATGTTGAAGTCTACGCACATGTCTAACAAAAGATTAGAAAGAATAAAGGTACATTGGGAATTAAGCAACGTGACATTTACAGAACAACCACTTATGACTTCAGGGACTCTGAAACAATAGAGGGGATTCTCAGCGCAGGGCTGAGGTTTCCACTGCAGGATTCCCAGGACCGTTAATGAAAATCGTGTGGCCAAGTCTTGTACATCTGCTGAGAACTTAGCCTGAAGTGTTCTCATTATGAAAACTTTGGGATCCCACAGTGGATTGAGTCCTCATGCTCTTTTTTGGGTGCTATATTCTTGTCTGTGTTTTGTTTGCTTCTTTTTTTTTTTTGTTTAGTCCCATTCATGGCAGGGTGCAGTTTTCTTTTATCCTGTTTTATTTTCCTCAGGTTATTTATGGACCACAAGTGGGAAGAAAAAGAGACCGTAAGGGGAAATAAGTTAATGATAGGTATCAGGTTCATCAGATCTATTTGCCTCTTATATGATGTTGTTCATAAGAAGATCCATTTAAATGGGCTTTATGTGGTATTACACAACTTACTTACTATCATTTTCAGCATCTGGACTAGATTTTCCCCAAGAACATGGCCCATGTCAAAGAGTCCATCGTAAGGAGGCATTAAGAAGAGTTCAAGGAAATGGCTCCGTGCACTGCACAAATACCTCTGTCCACCTGGGAGCCTTTATTCCCAGCCTGAGGATAGAGTCCTGCACCACTCCTCTGCAGAGGCCCACAGGATGTTGCTGATGAAGCGGCTTATCTTAGTGCCATGTACTTTAAAAACAAAGGGCACCATTGAGCTCCTGCTCCATCCCTTGAAGTCTATATCTCTCATCGTTCCGATGCCTCATGTTGCACTTCTCCTGTGGACGCACCCATGCAGGAAACAATGGAGACAAGCCCTGCTCAATAGCACATCGAGCTTCAGAGAATTTAATCGTATCGCAAATGCTGGGACCTGGCTCAAAAACAAGTAGAAAATTCCCTTTCAGTGTCTAAAACCCTTTTCTTCTTTCCAGCAGGTTCATCTCAGCTTCAGAAGTTACAGCCAAGCTTTTTCTTTGATTGGATTTTGGTTTTGGTATAATAGGGCAATAGTTAAGCAACTCATTATTCAAATTCAAAAATGCTTTGTGGAATCAATCTAATTTTTACTTCTTTTAAAACCTGTCATCCCCGATGTAATTCATAAAATTTGGCTAAAGAATTAAGATGTCCAGTTCCTCTTTTCTTTTCCATTAAAAATCTCTCACCTTCATGGTCTATCTCACAATCAAAAAGAACAGCACACGCAGGGAAGATGCAAGGCTCTGGACAGAAATAAATGATAGGTCAAAGCTAAAAGAAAACCTTCTAAATGGCCTGAGTGGCATACCGATGCTTAGAAGTAGCCTGGCCAGTTGAGTCTCCAGAGAAAGGTATCAGATTCCAGAACCATATCACCAACTTTCTAGGGAGGTAGGGAGGAGTTTTCTAAATTTCTATGGCTGGCTCACAGCATTAAAAATAAAATAAAAGACCCAAAGTAAGTGGTTCTACCAAGTATTTAGTAGAAGTCTTTATTTTTGAAGTTAATTTTAAAGTCTATAATTATTTGCATGATCGATGTGGTGACATTAAAAAAAAATAAACAAACAAAAACCAAAACCAAACCAAAACCAAAACAAGGCTGACAGATGGCATAGTGGTTAAGGGTGCTGAACTACCTACCACAGGGCCAACCACGATTTGAGTCCCGGACCAAGCGGCTTGCTTTCTTACTTTCCATCTCTCTCTTTCTTTCTCTCTCTCTCTCACTCTGTCCCTCTCTGGTCAAGTTAAAATAAATAAATAAATAAATAAAATAATTCTTTAAAAATAAATAAAATCTATAGTTACTTTGCTACTTTTTAAACGATTTTTAAATTTTTATTGTTATTCTAATTTATTGTATGCATTCGATCATTGCACATCACTACAGCTTGTAAAACAAATCACCCAACACGGATATACTCCTCTACTCGGTCACTTTGCTACCATAAAAATCCTGACTTTTTTTTTCTGAATAACCTGAAGGGTCTTTATAAAGCTCATGAGAAATGCATATTATTAAGAAACTATGGCATGTATTTCAAAATAGTTTGGCACCAAAATAAATGTATACTTTAACTTCATTTTTCCACAGACTTTTGAAGTTCCTTTGTAATCTTCATGATCATTCCTTATGATCTCCGTGGTGAGCAGCCCTGAGTATACAGCAGGTACCTGTGTGGGTGGTTAGACTCCCTCCCTTCCAACGGCTCTGCCAAGGACCTCGGTTCCTTGACACAGATCCTGCCACACCTCTTAGAAAAACCCCACACCTTCTGACCTTTCCGTGAGTTCTTCCCTTTAACCAAAATACTCATCCTCAGTGTTGCATCCAGGAAAATGCCTCTTGCTCTCAAACTCGGCCCAGATGTAATTCCCTAATGAAACTCCACTCATACATGGAATTAGCCACTCTGTCCTCCATATTGTGGAAGAGCTACCATGTTTAGTATGAATTGTGATCTATTCGCTTTTCTATTTTTTTTCCTTCAGAATATCAGTTCTTCAGCTGAAGGGACTATGGCTTCATCTGGTGTCTATGGCTTATCACACAGTCAGTGCCCAGTAAGTGTTGAAATAATGAATAAATAAATGAGCATCAGTATCTGGGAACCCTAAATACTGAGAGCAGTACTGACCCTTTACCATGTTTTTTTTTTTTTTCTCCTATAGGGTGCGTGCGCTCACCAGACAGACAGAGAGAGACAGAGAGACAGAAAGCGAGAAATCACCCCCCAGGGGGAATGGCCACACTGCAATCCCTTCTCCTCCATTTTCCTCTTGGGATCTCGGGCACGCACGCACACGCGCCCAGCGTGAGTTTAAGTTACCGGGTCCAGAACTCAAACCGTGGTCGACTACGTGGGAGGCCATCAACATAGCCATTATGCTAACTGCTGGTCCCAACTCTTTATCATGTTTTAAAAGCTACAGCTGTGCTTTGTCAGATTCTTCTAAATTGGGATCTTTAAAGACTTTTAATATGCATCTTATAATTCTTTCTGCACTTTGCTTCAGTGGAACAGGGACATTTTCTAAAATGAAAGTGAAGAAGCAAACTTTAACTTATCTGAGGTTCTTATTGACAATGAACCTAGAAGCTGCTGTGACAACGAATGGAATAGGCCCAGAGAAAAGTATGTGAAAAGAGATTTACTCTGCCTGGGTTTGGTAAGACAAGGCAATTGGAACATGGAGCCTCCTCCTAACTATGAGGTAGACAGAAAAGCAAGTTTTTATTCACTGGTAAGTGAATTATTAGCACTTACATATGATAGTTTGCAGAGTTATCAATGGATTGTACTAAGGTGAAGTTGTAAAAAGAGAAGCTACCTACCAGCCTTAGTAGACTGAGACTCCACAGCATCTGGCATGTTTGGTGTTGGACCCTACAGAGGGCCATTGCTATGCCTGAGCCAGCTCTGACTCAGTGCTTTATCCAAGTCACAAACTCAACTGCAAGCCTCTTCTTGTTTACCCTTCAGCAAAATGATGAGAACAACTTGTAGCATATGGAAGCATTTCCACACTGCAAGTTATTCTGAGGGGGAAAAATGTGATTTGCACATTCTGTCAAATGAAGCAGGCGTTTCCAAATGCTACTACAATGCTCAAACACATCCTTGTGTGTCAGAAGTGTCCTGCAGATGTTAAAAAAAAGAAAAAGAAAAAGCCTCAGTGGTTGCAAATGTGGATGCAAAAGGACAAGAAGCTTGTCCTGCAGTCATTGTTCCAGACAGACAGGAAAACCTTCCTCAGCTGCTGCTTCTGTATCATCAGCCTCATCACAGAGGCTTGCTCAGTGATTTCAAATAACCACATCTTGCAAGCAGCTGTCTACCAGGAAAAAAGGACTGTGACAACTACATTTGTAGACAAGATGATACCTGAAGAGCAGGACAAAACAAACAAACAACTTCTTGCAAGTGCTTCTGCTTCCTTGGGCTGGTCTTTGTCCTGACTGGCAGAGAGACTTTCATACTGAGACAAGGAAGCGATAGTTCCCAGCAGGAAGTTTGAATTAGGTCTCTGAGTGTTAGAACATGAATGGGTGGTAATGTGGGTAAAGGAGAGAATATAGACATTGCTGTAAGTGCCAGATATATGGTTAGACAATGTCAGAGAGAAACAGAATTATGTAGCATTATAAGAATGCATCTTTAAATCATTTTTTTTTAAATAGAAAAACAAAACAAGACAAGTAGAACCAGTTAAGGGACAAATCAGTTCACCAACAAAAAATGGAGAGCAACAACAACAAAATATCTGTGCTCGTCCACTAATGTCACTTAGGAGACTTTAATTCTATTCCATGGACAGGGAGCCACCCTTCACTCTAAGGCAACAAAATGTTCTGTGGAATATATATATTTTTAAAGAACTATTTATTTAATTTTATTTATTAATTCAATCATTTTCATTTGACCAGAGAAAGACAGACACACAGAGAGAAAGAAGGTGAGAAAGCAAGCCACCAGGTCTGGGACTTGAACCATGGTCAGTCACGTGGTCATGTCCAGCGCCTTAACCATCATGCCACCTGCTAGCCCAGAAATCTTCTGTGGAATATTAAAGAGGTTGATTTCAACAGGTCTATAGAAAAGGAAAAAAGTTATCAAGGATAGATAAAATCTACTCTTGTCATAATAGCTGCCTCCTTTTTAAAGCAGGAAGAACATAATAACACAAAGTAAAAACCATCATCTATCAATTGAACACCAAAGAGCCCTTTGTAGGAGACATCTTAACTAACTGCTTCCATAAAATAAATTTCATTTTTGGCTCAAGTGTTTGGTTGTTTCAGTCTTAATCTATATCTGAATTTATAGGTGAAGGAAAATATTGTATTAATTACTGGCAAGAAATTTGCTGTGAATGATCTCATGCTGCTAAATAGATTCAAAAGCAGAAATATATAGGAAAATAACATTGCCTTTATTTCTTTTAGCTGATGAAAGAATGAAAAGTACACTTCAAGCCTGCATAGGAAGTTATTTTTCTTTAACAAACTTGAGATCATATCCAGGACTGGAACATAACATAGTCTAGAACTTTCCTGAGCATATAAATGCAGCTCCTTAAAATATGACAGGTGTTATACTGGGGGTTTATAAGAAATGCTTCAATTAATTCCCACAATAAACCTATGAGATATTCATGGTATGTCATTCTTATTTGGCAGCTGAGGAAACTGTAGCTTTAGGAGATAAAAATCACAGAGCTGAGAGGCAAATGCAGATATAATTCACTGCAAGAACCCACCCTCCCAGCCTGACCCAGCAGCCTGGCACTTAAAGTTGGCTTCTCTGAGACTTAACAGCCAGTGGTGCCCCAGCTGTTAAGGGCCCCAATCTCAGGACTGCTCACTTTCTCCTCCCTCTATTGCTTGCAACAGATAAAAGAATTTGGTGTGTGTCTGCAAATATTCCCACCACATTAAAAAATAAGCTAACAAATGAAAGATGATGGATAATCAGAATGAACACTGATTTTTGAGAAGTTCACAAAGTTTATGTGAACAAAGCATCAGAAGAAACAGAAGCTAACACTCCGGGCCTGTGTGCGTGTGTATTCAACACCGTAATAGGAGAGAGATGGTGGAGAAGGGATTGCAACATGACCATGCTCCATGGGGGTTGTTTTCTCTCTTTCTAAGAAGCACACAAACCCTCTGGCAAATTTAAGAAAAATAAATAAATAAATAAGGAAGAAGAAGAAGAAGTAGAAATTTATAAAAATGATTCTTCATCAAGTAATTCTCATTATCCACGTCCTAAATTTTCTTCAGGCTGATTCATTTCCCTTCCTTTTTTCCCCTTTAGCATCTTCCTAAAAATCTAGTCCTTTCTTGTATCTGCTTGACAAAGGGGAGAACATCAACCAGAAAACCAAATAACTCTCTTTATGTGACTAATAATGTATGCCTGTTTCCCATAATTTGGTTTGGGAGTTCAGCAACACGCATGTCCATTTGGAAAACAATTGATAACATGCAAAATTAAATTTAATAAGTACATTTTAAAATAGTTTCTGAATTAAAAAAATGCTGTCAGTGGACCAGCTGCTGGTGTAATGGCTATGTGGTTGTACTTCCATGTAGTTGACCGCCGTTCGAGTCCTGGACCTGGTGGCTTAAACTTACACCAGGCACGTGTATGTGCATGCCCAAGATCCTGAGAGGAGAATGGAGGAGAAGGGATTGCGGCGTAGCCATCCCTTCTGGGGGGGGGGGGGATTTCTCACTTTCTGTCTCTCTGTCTCTCTCTTTCTGGTGAACACACACGCTGTATAGCAAAAACCTCTCAGAAAATAAAAAATGTGTTCAGATTCTAGATGCAACAAATGATTATTTCTTTTTTTTTTCATCAACGGATGAACAGAAAATAAGATGCAGCATACACATACAGTAGACTATTATTCAGCCTTAACAAAGAAGGAAATCTTAAAGAACATTATGCTACGTGAAATAATCCAGCCACAGAAGATCAAATTCTGTATTACCCTACTTATATGACAAGTCTAAGATAGTCAAACTCAGAGAGGCAGAGACTAGAATAGGGGTTGCCAGAGGGTGAGAGGAAACAGGAAGGGGGATGTGTGGCCAAAGGGCACACACTTCAGTCCTAGTGGTGTATAGACACTGCAGGTCTGCTCTGCACAGTAGGACCTAGACATAACAAGACTGTATTGTATACGTGAAAATTTGCTAAGAGGGTAAATGTGGTGTTAAGTGTTCTCACCTCAAAAAAGGACAATAATAATAATAATAATAAAGAGAGCAGAAGGGAGATTTTGGAATTGACAGGTATGTTTATGGCATTGATTACGATGGCTTCATGAGTGTAGCCTCTAAATTAATCAAGTTGCATACATTAAATATGTACAGTTTTTATGTCAATCATACCTCATCATTTTTAAAAATGACATAGTAGTAAATGGATGTGATCAGTAAAGTGACATCAATATGTGAGCACATTGATAAGAATATTTTGAGGCTGCATCTTGGAAACAGGCAGAGTGGAGGGAGAAGTCATGACTGGTAATGTTCTTTAGTGCTTCTGTGAAAGACAGGTCCTTTAATTGGATTACAATCACAGATTTTGTTTTCTTTTTCTATTTTTTTAGTTTTTAATAAAGTATATTATTCAAAATTAAGAAATTTAAAGTTTTCTGAAGTAGAGCATTGAAGTGACTTAACATCAAACATTTTAAAAGATTTTTAATTGGATATTCTAAAAGCCAAATATATGTGTTTTATTTATTTATTTAATTTTTAAATTAATTTATTTTTCATTAGAAACAAGGTATACTATCACTTATAGTCTCCAAACATTATTAAACTTTCATAATTTGATAAAACATTCATGAAACAACCTGGAGACTTGTTTAGCAACAAATGATTATTTCTGGGCAAATAAAGTCATGTCAAATACACATTGTTATCCTAAAATGAAAGATTGAGTTCAAATTTACAAAACTCCTAAATTAATTTTAAATTCTTCATTTTTTTATTATCTACAATTTTTAAATTTGCCCAGGAATTTAAAAATCTTTAGTCTGATGAT